ATGTGGGGGGGGGGGGGAGAGAGGAGAGAGAGAGAGATTTATTCCACTGTTACAGATGCACACTGCTCATACTGTGTGTACAACAGCACAGCATGTTATACTAACCTTCCTCTGGATTTCAACATATTACCTCTTTTAATGTGCTTGGACATTAACTAAGAGAGATATAAGCAGATTACAGGCTACAAAGATGAAGTTACAGAGTATTCAGAGATAAGCCAGAAAGGAAATGGATAAATAACCATTAGAGAGGCAGGACTAGGTAGAGAGATCAGAAGACTGAATGCCCTGAGAATCCTTGAACACATAAATAATTTGCAGGAGGATTTGTCGAATAGATGATTATTATGATGATGGTCTAAATGTAATTAGTACACAAGTTCTAGAAATCACTTTCCACTTGTAGAATCTTCTGTTCATTTTCCTACACAGTCCATGCACAATTTGTGGTGAAGTAAACTGAAATGATGCATGTGTACCTCAATTCATAAATTTTCCACATCATTTATTCCAATATCTATTTTATTGCATCTATACTGCCCATTCTATTCACTGTTACAGGTTTAAATAATTACTTCAGTCATAAATGCGTAATTATATAAAATTTTAGTTTCTTATGATAATTATTTTAGTCTTCTGGGTTTTAATGTCATGTGGATGTATAGTTAAATATAAGCCCACACAGTGTTACAACCATCAACAAAATATAGTTAGGTAACCAGCGACTCATACTTCACTCAGCCATCCTTACCTGACAAATGATCTACCATTTGGGAAATTTTTAACAAGCATGTTGATTTGATCTTGGAGTCCTGCTGGAGTCACACACACCCTCTCTGCATCTGTTGTTTCAATCACTCTTCGATCCTGTAACAGCAAAATAGAAAGTTTTGCAATTTCAACTTTCTTTGCAAGGTTACAGACATCAGAAAAGAAATGCTTCAAACATTACAGGTGAAAATAAAGATAATACAAAATGGCTACAGCACATACACAAACAAAAACAAAATATCAAAGCAGGTGCTATAATACAAAATGCTTGGATGACAGATACTGGGCACCAGAATAAAAGACAGATGGACCAACTGAACCTAAAAAGATTTATCAATAGGCAATTAAGCCTAATCCTGCACAGTACCCAGTGATTGCTTTCAGTCAATACATATGATACTGATGTAACAAAATGTGTCATTGTTTACTTAAGCAGAAACAAGTTCCAATACACTTTATGTGACCAGTTTGGAATGTTAACCACTTAAAATAGACAAAATAAAACAACTCTTTACCCCCTACCTTCACCACTACTTTGAGCTGCCTATTGGGTAAGTCAGTGTATGTAGCTTCCCAGTCCTCTATGCTCCAGCCTCTAGCATGCAGAACAGTTTCCACAATCAGCATGTCTGATATCGCATCACCAACTGTCTGGTTTATGACATCCATCAGGGTTGCCAATGTTTCTGTGGCATGCAGCTGGTCTGCAGGTAAGCTGTTAACATAAAAACGAGTAAGGAACCCAAAAAAACTGAGGCCACACAAATTCAATGAAAAGGAACTAACCACACTTTCTGGCATAAGAACCCAAAGGTTAATAATAATTCCAATATACGAGCTGCTGATGGGGACTGTCCTGAACTAATTACATCCAGTCTACCTTACCAAGTTTTTGCAATAGTGATATTATCCTTCCATCATTTTCTTAATTCCCCTTTTGACTATGTCTCTCTGAATACAGTTCTTTGTGTTTTGAGGTCCTCCAATATGGCATCTTCCCTTATGGCATGGAGATGCTGTTATGAATACAGTGATGAACATTCAGGTTCCGCAAAAATACAGTATCTGTTCACCAGCTCAGTAACTATTAGATTTTTCAACGAAGACTGTGTACCATGGAATTAGTTTAGTTAGTGAATAATAATAATAAATATACAAAACAGACACAGCAAAAATTTTATAGATTTAAATCTTCACTGTTCTGGAAGTTGCACAAGTTTTCACTGGATAAAGATAAGTGTTTCTTAATATACTAATCTGTTATTTCTTTATGTATTAAGAATGAGCCAAGGTTACCCCGAGTCTGCCACATTGACCTTTTCCAGGCAGTTTTAACTTTTGGCCACATAAATTCAGGTCTAAAATAAGGTAGCATGCCTTTTAAAGAAAGGCATGAGGGAATAGGTATTTTAATATGTGCACGCTTTATATAAACATAAAGAGACATAATAAATCAAACCTTAAGTCCTCAGCAGCACTGCAGATACATCTGGTGGCGAAGTCACTGAATGTAACAGTTCCATGTCCATTAGCTTCAAAATAAACTCCAATGTCATATTCCATAGCTTTGTGATGCAAGTGTTTCACACCAGTTGGTACACAAGCCACAGGAACTTTCTGTTTGTATGAAGTACATGATGGTATATTAACACTACAGAGGGGGAAAAAAATTTAAATTTGAAGTTACTCAGTGATTAAGTTTCACCTCAGTTTTTAATGTGCAGCAGGAAGAATACAGCAGAACTCTTGATTTTGAAATCAAAATGTAACCATTAAAACCTTAGAACTTGTCCTTTACCAGAAAGAACTACATTTGTAAGATATAAGGTATTCACAGCGGTGAGTCTGAAGATGGCTGTCTTCTGGGTTGTTGCGCCGTGTGGTCTGGTAGAAGTTTACCGACGTTCAGAGTTCCTTGCTGCCTTCATCAACAACCCAGAAGACAGCATCTCAAAAACTGCATTTGATCTAACAATTCAGTAACCACACAAGAGTTCTGGGTAAAGCTTACAACCTAGTTTCCTAATGCAACAAATGTATTAATACCTTATTTCGGTAATGTAAATATATAATCCAACAACATAATGCTACTTAACTAACGAGTTAGCATGCTGGGCTTGCACACAGATAGTCATATTGCTGAATCACAATCTGGTAAAAATATTTTATTGCAGCCAATTGAAAAGTTACAGATTGTTGTTGTTGCGGTTGTCATTGTTATTATTATTATTTTATTATTCTTCTTCTTGGAAAGAGTTTATTAACAAATTAAAGATTCTGATTACATTAAATTCTTCTGGCATAATCTCAAAGTTTGCACTGTCACCATGTTTGCAACTGCTGACTTATAAACAATAATACACACAGAATTTTTAGATTCCAACTGGTGACTTCCTAAACAAAAATGGAAACTATATCACAACACAATACAAGTCAGTCAAAAAACTAGACAGATACTATATATCTGCACTTACCTTTCCAGTATACTATGTACAGAAAATCAACAAACTGAATTTAAAAATAGTTCTAGCAATCAGAATGATCTGTACAAGAACTGCTGTACTATGAATTAAGGTGTTTTTGTTCCCCAGATTATGTTATGCGAAGGTTTTACACTACAGCAGTGATTCTAAACCTCAGGCACCATGTTGCATAATCAAGGTTATGTTCATCCTCAGGAAAATAATACCAAATCATCAGAACTATCTTCTCTAACACTAAAGTGATTGAAAGATTGAGCCTTAGAGGCAGGAGTTGCTAGCAATACCAGTTTAGGGTCACAGCAGCTCTGTAGCATTACTGAACTTGATTATGTATGTTCACATTCTGTTAACATTTCCTTCTGTTTGAAAAAATACAATTTTCCTACCACAAATTTACCTTACCAGGTTTTTCAGTAAAGAATATCCTCTACAGAAGACTTCTTACCAATGTTTTGGATATGTAGCTAGTGGAACTTCCATTTGCATAAGCTGTCTGCACTAATCCTAGCTGAAGACCCAGGTCACTTTTCTTAATCAATTCCATGAGATATCCAGCAACTGTTAAAAGTAAAGAACTTATTTAACTATATAACAGTAAATTACATTAACATTTTCAAGTAGTCTTGATACATGACTGGGAATAGACAGTCTTGGTTACAGATTATGCAATGCCTAATAATACAACTGAGAATGATAACAAGGAAGGTACTACATTAGAAACTCATTAACTGGAGTAACTGAACAAATACACTACAAACCTTAGAATATCTGGTCTGTGGGTTGAGATTTAACCCACGACCTCCCAAATATGAAGCTGAAATGTGTAATGTAATTGGAATGTCAAATGTGACACCTGAGAGAAAGCAGATGTGCCCATTTGTTATAACTTCTGTTGCTATTATAAGTATGTGAAAAAACCAATAAACAATTCTTATACCTCATCTATCAAAAAGCAACAGTGGCAAGAAGTAAAGATGGCAAAAATACAGAGTGAGCATAACAGAACTTCACACACACACACACACCAGTCAACAGAAAAAGTTAAAGTTTTGTTTCAAATGACCCAGGTGATTGCTGCCTCTGCTAGATACCACTATTTTTTTAAATGGCTACCCCACAACAGATGAGTTGGTGTGCTCTTCTGTTGGCGAAGAATAAGTAACAGCTGTGCAACATGTATTTCACATGGAACCACCCAGTCTCTGCTATAATCTTTGCCAGAGCTGAGGTAGCAGATCACACCTGCCATAGCTACTGTCACTAAGGTCACACTGCACAAAGTTTGGGACAAGTTGGATTATCATCTCAACATCTGCCATGTGACTCACAGACCACATATTGAATCTTTGTGAGGTATGTACAAAACTTTGCAAGTTTTTCTTAGGACTGGTGTAGGTGTGAAGTTCTAAGAGTACACATTTGTTTCCTGTTTTATTTTGAAAGTATAAAGTTACTTTGTGCTCCCTTTGTATATCTGATGTACATTCTGGAGGTACCTGGTTCAAATCCCAGCTGTAGACCAGGTATCCTTACAGAAGGTTGTTTTGGTTATCTTCAGTCCTTGTGGACAAATACTGGGGTAATACCATTTCCTTCCAAATGTTTACAGGAGATAAATACTACTTAATTTTTCTAATAACTTTTAACCATTGGAACAATTTTTAAATGTAGTCAAAAGAAATAAAACTCACTCAGGGTTGCAATTCTGTCCCCATCCAGCAGATGAAACTTGTCATGTGTGTCAATGTAATAATAAACAATCCGATCTGCATCTCCATCCACAGATACACAGCGAGCATTACTTTTCTGTGGAACTCCTACTGGTGCACACTGCTGCACTTTTATATAATCTGCACCACACTGTAAGGAACAGAGTGGCAAACCCATGGCATATTTTACAAGTACTAAAACTATAGACAATAAAAAATATCATACATACATTTTCAAGCATGCTGTATGAAGCAATACTGGGAAAAACAGGAAGAAATATCCGTGAATTGTTTTTATTATTGTGCCCTCATTACTCACCTTGTAATTCAACTGTCCAGTACCATTATTGTAGAGCTGCACCTGCAGAGAATCATGCAAGTGCAACAAACCAGCTTCAAGTTTCATTGCTCCAACACCATTTGCTCCATCAAACATTACACTTGGTACATATTTACCATTTTCTGGCTTCTGGAAAAGGACATGTGGTAAGTACAGAAAGATATAAACTTTAAATGTAAAATTGCTAAAATTGTATGAATTTGTTTGAACTATAAATGTCTATGACCTAATCACATTCAATAATTTTACAATTTATGAAATACATTCAAATCATATTCAATAACTGCAAAATAATACTTTGGAACAGTTTTTAAGAATACACCATTTCAGAAACTTAAGAAACAGTGAAGCAAAGTGTAAAAAAAAAAAAGAAAAAAAAAAAAGAAAGAAATCAGCATATTAGATTTGTACTTTTGTGAATATTCTTAACTTGAAATGTGCATATTTTGTGATGTTATCAATGGCTACCCTTTTTAAGTTACACTATTTCATTATTGATAATGCCTCATTTCTTTGTGCAGATGTTTCTAGCGATCATCTTTCAAATGTGTACTGTAAAACTGTTTCAAGAATGACTTCTCCAATAACACACATTAAACGTAAACACTATCTACTGAAGGACGTTGGTAATTACACCTCTATAAAAACATCCAGTTAAACTGCAGACATCAACAGTACATAAGCATGCATTATGAGTTACCTATGTAACACAGCAGGCTTTAAAATAGTGCAAGGTAATAATAACACAGTAAACACTGCTAATAAAACTCACATCTCCTCTAAGTTTCTTGAATGCTGTGATTATTTTCTTGAAGTAACCATCTTCTGTTGGCTCACTGTATGCACTACCAATGTTGTTGATACATGCCACAAAGTAATGAAGCATGGGTGTAGTTACAATTCCATAGTCATTCACTTTTCCTCCCATAGTTCTTATTCCTGTTACAGCTGCCTGGGCAAGGCCAGGACTGCTTGGTCTAATATAAAAAACAAAATAATTCAAATGACTATATGTTAACATTGCAAAATACAAGTGCTTCTTTACAGAAACAGCCTTTAAATGTTTCCATCCTCACCTAAACACTTAGACATGCAGAAGTTCTGAATTAAAAAGTGTCTAAATTATGCAAGAAATGCCAACTACCATTCTATTTCAATTCCAGTTACTGCTGATATTCCTGGTCCTTCCCACATCATATTCTAAATAAAGTTAAGAACAAATGGTAATAAAGCATCTCCTTGTTTCAGACCACTCTGAATAGGAAATACATCAGACAGATCTTTTCTCATAAGCAATTTATCACAGCTCTTGTTTAAACACATATTAATCAACCTAACTAGATTCATGGAAATACCAAATTCTATGATGATGTTGCACATAACTAATCAGAAGCTTTTTTTAAGTCTACAAATAAATAGCTGATGTACTGTCCAATTACATTCCCATTTTTATCCTTTATTTATACTGAAACTGCATTATTTGAAAATCCTGAAGCATTAACTTTACCCACACATTTTGGTTTGCTCTACTCTAAACACATTTGTTCTTGATTAATGATGTATTAATTTTAAGCAGGTTTCATCACAGTGAAAGGTTAATTGAAGACCAAATCCTCTACCATGAACTGTTCACAGGAACCAATGTAACTGGCTGCAAAGCATGAACTAAGGAAATGTTAAATTATGGATATTTAATCAATATCATCAATTTTGCTGCCAATGATTTTGAAATGTCAACCTCATGCTAGACTACTCAATGACTTTCATGATTAATGTTCTAGCCTAGTCTCTGTTTTATCCACTGTCTCTTCTATAAGTACACTACATTTCTAATGTTTATTTTTATTTTTACAGAAATGTCAAGTAAACTGACTTTATTAATAAGTTGTGAATGCCTACTGTGCTTTGAATTACTATCCTGGAAGTTATTAATGGGAAACTTTCTCTGACACTAACAGTAGCATACATCACACACAATTCATACAAAAACACTCACTTGACAGAATATTAAACCATAGCCACTCATAATTATAACAGCTAATGAACTCACTGTTCATGTAATGATCTTAAAATGGGCAATAAATAAAGTTAACACTCAAATGTGGAAGGTAATAATCACTGCTGACCTTATTCTTCCCAATTCCAAATATAAACATTATTAAATGATCCAAGAAGCAAATATTTGTTATACAGCTACCAAGGGTCTGAGATTTTGTGTCCAAAATCTGCCACTCTGCAGGCTAAGAATTAATTCATGCACATGGGGATTAATATGAGAAGTATCATAATAATATTTTGAGTGCCAGCTATGTTTAACAGAAAAGATGTGAAATGTGAAAACTATACCTTGTATCCTGCCCAACACACACAAGTGCTTGAGTTTCCCAACTGATTGATTCTGCCTCAACTATTTCAAGAAGTGCAGAGTCCAATTCAGTGTCACTAGAAAGTAGAAAACAAATTAATGTAACCCTGTAGAATCTGAGGTTTCCAAAGAACAGTGAATATAGATCGTGGTCTGGATTGTTATGCCATGTAATTGTTTTAGTGCACCAGGGAAGAAAGCTAGGTCAGGAGTGAGAGAAAAAGCAATCTCTTTAAAAGAAATGAAGGAAGTTATAATCATAAGAAGCCCTGTTCTTGGAGGAAATTTGCTCTGTATGCGTTCTGAGAACATTACCAATCTTTACATTCAGTTCCATTATGACATGACAGACTCAGTTCATCATCTGATCTAGATGCTGAATTTCACACAATGAAAAGCCACAGTCCACAAACGGTTATAAATTTTACTTCTGTTTTGCTGCTTTGCTATGAAAGTAAACAGATTCAAATATGTAGTACTGTTCGTGACTGTAATCTTGAGACTCGCAAGGAATGCAAGAAGTCTGAAGCATTAAAGGCTGACGCTGTCTTTCCTCCTTCCTCTTTCACCCCACTTCCTTACCCCACAAGTCTCAAGATTACAGTCGCGAACTATACCTGGCATTTGCAAGTCTTGTAGCAAACTTCTCCCATCTTTGTTGCAACATCTCACCAAAAGGGTCAATTAACTTCACACCATTGTCTGGTTCTGGATTATGAGATGCTGTTATCATAAGCCCAATAGCTGCACCTAAAATGATACAGTAGCTTAATAATACATCTTAATTACATTCCATGGATCCATAAGATAGTCTGATGACAATAGGATGTGGAAAAAGTCATAATAATACAATACATGTTATACAAATACTAGTCATACTATTATATAAATTTCACATTATACAAATCAAAGGGTTCACATAAAGAAATGATAACTTACAAATAAATCTACCCATTACATACAGAAGATAAATTATCATTTATTTGTGAACAATAGAAATTCATCAACAGAGTAAAAGGAGTGTGTAATTAGGTATATTTTTAGTGCTACATTAAATTGTGCCTTTTTATTTACAAGACTTGCGAGACTTGATGGTAGACTGTTGAAAATTTTGATCCCTGCATAATATGCACTCTTCTGAAAACATGAGAGGTAGGCAATTGGTCTATGAAGCCGATTTTTATTCCTTGTGTTGTCACTGTGTACAGCAGAATTAATTTGAAAAAATGTAACCAATGATAGTAACTTAGGCTAATATAACTGGCATCTAAATTTCTTTATATTTCAAAAAATAATTGAAGGATAACAAAACAATGATACACATGACCATTTTAAGCTTCTTTAACAATTCCACAGCTTCTAAATTTATCAAATTTTCAAGTAAGCACAGACATTTGTGGTGAAATAGTAATTATTTCACAATAAACACTTATGCAATTTGTAATAATAACTGAAGTAAATGTATGCAGTTCAAGTGAACCAGGAAGGGCTAGAAATGGATTACCAAAATTAGGTAAATGTTTATGTGGAAGAAAGTAATTTACTGGGCAAGAATATAGATATCAAAGAATAATATCAAAACTTCTTTTACAAACCAGAAAAAAATATTAGTATAAAAGTAAATATAGATAAACATACACATATGATTATTACATAAACCAAAATCAGCAAAAAGTTAAAATACAAGTAAATAAGAGCTCAATTTTATGTAACAATACACAATGTATACTTATAAGGAGAGGTAAAGGTAGGTCCAGGCATTCAGTCTCAGCACTAGATGAATAACTACTGTATGAAAGGCTGCATAAGCCTCAGAACTGGTCTGGACATGATGGTGATAAGAAGATCCCTGCCTCTGGCATGAAACAAATCTGGTTACCATCATTACAAATCACTATAATGATAATAAATAATTTCAAAATGTACCTGAGAACAATAATAATGAAAATAAATGTGTACCAACTTGAAATTAATGGAAGAATAAATATGTGAAACTTTATTAATCAAGTGTGAAAACATTATCTACCTATTTTACTTTGCATATTTATTTATTTATGACTTACTTCATTGCACTGTTGGCAAATCAGACTATATATAGTGTCAAATTATATGATAAATAATGAACTAGAAAGGACAGGAACGAAGTGGTCATGGCCTTGCTTAAGGCTTGGACATTTGTCTGGAGGGATTGAGGAAAACCAAGAAAACTTCTAACAGGATGGCCAGTTTCCAGGTCAAGAATTGAACCCAGAACCTCCTGAATATGAAGCAGGAGTGGTAACCACTTGGCCCAACATTCAATCCACTTACTATGCACAACATAAAAATCAATATATAAAAAACATTAATTTTGCTTCTTGTTTTTCCCCCCCTTAATATGAGTACTGCATGTACAGTGTGTCCACAAAGTCCCTTCAAGGTATTGAAAAATTGTGGCATGCAAACAAATTGAGCTAGCCACATGCGGTTTGCAGCAGATTACAGTGAAACTCTGGAAGTTTTTTTACTGATCTTAGTAGACCTTGATGTGGACTTCTTGAAAAAAATCATGTTCACAGACGAGGCAACATTTCATGTCTCGGGTAAAGTTCACAGGCATAATGTGCGCATATGGGGCACTGAAAACCCACATGTTGTTAGGGAGCACATACACGATAGTCCGAAAGTGAACATGTGGTGTGGTGTAATGCATGACCAGGTTATTGGACTCTTCTTTTTTCAAGAGCAGATGATCAACATGAACATCTATCTGGACATGCTGGAACTGTATGCAGTACCACAAATTGAGCACTTACGGCCACACATCATTCTGCATCAAGATGGTGCTCCACCTCATTGGGGTCTGCAGGTACGCACATACCTAGATAGGACATTTTCAGGAAGATAGAGAGACGGTCCAATGCCTTGGTCTTCACATTCACCAGACATAACACCACTGGATTTTTTCCTGTGGGGTTATGTCAAGAGCATTGTGTTCCGAACACCAGTTAACGGACTGATGACCTGAAGACCTGTATCAGGAATGCGATCTTGGCTATTCCAGCGGACATGCTCCACAGAACATGGCAAGAGCTCGAATATCGTCTGGACGTTCTCCATGCTACCAAGGGAGCCCACATCGAGGTCTACTGAGGTCAGTAAAAAACTTCCAGAGTTTCACTGTAATCTGCCGCAAACCGCATGTGGCTAGCTTAATTTGTTTGCACGCCATAATTTTTCAAAACCCCAAAGGGACTTTGTGGACACACTGTATTATATGCAAAAACTTAACAACTTACCACCTTTGGATTTTGATCTAAGAACAGCCAACAAACCAACACGATACAGAACATAGTCAAGGTCTTCAGCCCTGTATAAAGAATAAAAATTTATTATGGATGCCTGGACTTCACACTAACCATGGCACACAATTCTTTCACAGGACATGTCCAATTAGCTTTAGACATGATAGTTATAGGTTAATAGAAAGCTACACTTGTATAAGAGCACCATTTACTCTGACCTGCTTCACCAAATGGACTGTCAAATGTTACCCTTAGGCTGAGCAAGTAGGATGGCCATCCCAGGTCTCATGGTTCTGTGGGCCCCATGCACAATGGCACCTTAAGTGCCCATGAAGTAAAAATTTAACAAATACCATACTAAAGAATATTAATGTCATTGTAATCCCAAAACAGTGATATGAACACACCCTTCAATAAATATGCAGCCCAGCACCAGTAGTATCATAATTACTGATTACTAGATTTCTTTTTGTACAAATCTTAAGTAGAGGGCCACACATATATGGCTCTACCCCAGGCCTTGCACCCTTCCAGGGACTGCTAATCAAATATTACTTATGACTGCAAAATATTACCGGATGATTTTGAAAGGTTATTTTTGGCCAGGTTAGTATTATTTATGGTGTACAAACCGTGATATGATTGGAAATCCATTTAAAAATTTAAGATATTTTGATTTGGAAGTAATTCCATAACATGATGAATGGAAATGGTCATTAACAATGGACACCTTTAAAACGGTGTTTCGCGTAGTTTTTGTAGGAAAAAGGCACTAATCTAACCCTCTAGTAAATATGACATAATATCACATTATTAATACCACCTTGTCCTAAAGCCTGCTGTTCCATATTGAATATTTCTAGGTCCCTGACGAGGATACTTTTCTAACCCAACTTTTTTAACATTAGATACCACATCTGCCATATTAGCGCAGCTGACATCCACTTTACGATTACCATTCAATGAACTGTCCACGTGTGCTGCACATACCTGGCATGTTAACGTAGAACACTTTCTAAATCATTCTACGTCACGATATAAGTGGGTAGGGAACGGACGCACAGATAAACCCCCACTACGACACGACATCCAAAAGGAAGTTGGTATTGCCATTATCATATTTCACCATATATTTTCTATAAACGAGAATAAATAAAATGCTACTGTAATGAAAGAATAAGTTTTGTCTTCATAGCAAATTATCGTAAACATAATATATTCAAGTCTTAAGGTACAATTTGGCTGCACGCGACAGAGACAAGCGACCGAGGCAGGCGACAGAGACGGGAGACGGACACATCGCAGCTTGTCGCCAAACACTTCTGAGGTGACGACCGAGACATGCGGCAAAGTGTTTGTTTTCTTTGTTTTGTTGAGACATACGTGCACATATTCTGTGAAAAATGAGTACACAAATGCTTCTAAAAAGGTTACTCGAAGAATAAGAAGAAGATGATGTGTTGCTGTGTTATTTGTTGCGAAAGAAACAAAGAAAACCTATGAGTTCAATATTCAAAACCAGACGTGAAGAAGGTTCTTTCTGTCGGTGGTCGGTTTTCTGCTACTAATTCTACCAATTGCTCATCTTGGTCACCAGTAAATTTAATTTCTGTCATTATTTTACTCAACACTACTGGTCCGAGAGCGGTCTCCTGTGCTTTGTCTCTGTCGCCTGTCTTTGTCTCGCGCTCGTAATTGTACTTCATACGATTGTACAGAGAGCAGACAGGAAGCAACCAGTCTCGGTCTCGTAACTCTGTCGCCTGCCTCGGTCGCTTGTCTCTGTCGCGTGCAGCCAAATTGTACCTTTACATAATATATTCAGTACGTAGAAGCCTAATAACTTGGACTATGACGTTCGTCGTCTGGTACCACGGACCACATACATGCCTGCCATACGTTATAATGACCTACAAATCCGTATATCACATGGCTTTGCCATACATAAATTTTAAAGTACAGTAGCTGGGACCAAACTGTACGTTTCGCCTGTTACTATTTTTGGGGTAAAAGGAAAACAACAAATATGCTATGTATACCGAATACATTACTGACACAACTGAAACTGAGCTACAAAGTACAGTTGCTAGGAAATAATGTCTAGGCAGAATTTGATTCCTTATCTGCTACTCTTCCAATACTCTTTGATCACCTTGATAACAGACACTCATCATGGTACAACAAAATAGTTGTTAGTGACATGAATGATAAAACATACAAGAAATAATTTATTTAAATTATTTCTAAACCTTCTGAACCTTGTCACAATTACAAGGGCAACAAAGATAACAAAGACTGCCTGGAGTTTCACTTATGACTTATAGCCCATAACAGTATCAACGACTAAGCACCAAAGGTTATTCTTGAATCATTTAAACACTCAACTGTTTCAGACCTTGTCTCTGAAACTGTAATGGATTTAAACAAAATTTGGTATTGGGATTCACACTAAATGCTGCAAAGTGAATTCATCTGAGTATGTATGAATCCACAAAGCTCTACATGAAACTAAACTTCAAACAGCTCATGAAACAAAAGGTTTGTATTTGATACAAGATTCAGATCTCAGTATTAAACCACAAGTACCATTTGCTTTACTACAAAAGGTTAGAATCTGCAATAAAGGAACACAGACACCACTGAACAATCTTAAGCCTTGCTGATCAGAACCATGGGGGTATCTCCAGTTCATCAGGTTCAAATGCTTAATATTCTTCTACTGCAGTGGTGTTAATATAGACAGTTACTCTATATCCAATATAGCTTTGTACTGCTAGAATTTAATAATGAATGAAATGAAATGCTTTACCTCATGTTTTTATCACTTCTTCTGGAATTTGATCAGTATCAGTCAATTTATACCATTTCAACTTTTCACAGCCATTTCAGAGCTATGCTCTGTTGAAATAAACATGAACAAAGACTAAGAACAGTCAAGTGGTATGTATAGTGCACAATTACAAGATAACTATTTAATCTGATCATCAGCTGCTATGCTCAGAGGTACTTCTCCAGCTCATAACCAATAAAAATCCATTATGATATTGCTCTCTGGTCAGTGTCTGTTGATGTCTGCTCCACACATATCCTAAACAGCATAGGCTCAGCTGTATTCATTTCAGCCTGCCTACAATAATTAACCCAACACAATTTAACAATTGAAGAAATGTTTCTATAAACCATTTAAAATTAACAAATCACTAACTGACAAAGAGTTCTGGACAGAACTCTTAAGCCTTCTTTTCTACTACACAGACTTCCATTTCCACACATTTTGTATAGCCACTGTTATATTTTAGGTACTGTAAGTTATAATCCAACAGTAAAATTGAACTCATAAGTAAACAAGATGGGTTCATGCATAGATGGTCACAGTGTCAAATGCTATGTAAGTCAGAAATATATTTATTACCTGTAACAGTAAAAATGGTACAAATTATTATATTTTATTTTTTGAAAGAACATATTACTTAATATATTCTATGCTGATTTGCTTGATATAATCTCAATACCACACATCACACTTACAAATAATATTCATACAGAATTTGTAGGAATGTTTATTATTCATCTTCATACAACATTTATTTGTACTTCCAAAGGTTAATTTGTTATAAATATCAATGAGTGAAAATTTTTACCTTAAAATTAGTCTTCTAGCAAAGCAGTCAAAAAATAATGCACAGTATATGATTTCAAGAGAATGCACACTTAAAAGAAAATATTCAAAATGTGTGAGATTCAGATCCTGGGAATAGAATATTGTGCACTTCCAAAAAAAGAAAGAGAGGTTCCTATGTTACGAATGGTAGAGCACAATTATCTGAAAGCTACTGCAGGCCATTGAGGCCCAAATGCCTATCTCCAAAATGATTCTATCACAGACAAAAATAGAGCTTGGAATTTTTATGCATGAATTACAGCTAAATCTGAGAAAATTATCTTTCATATTATCATTAATATGAATATTTCTAAAATTAGGCTCTGTATCTAAGCAATTTCATAAAGGAAATCAAAACATTATATAAAGTGGCATTATTATTACTAAATTGTCTCTAGTCAGGAGCTTTAACTGTTGCTTATAACCTGCAAATACTAATATTTTGCATGCATGATACATTTTCAGCACAGCATATTGAATCAGATAACAAAGGAATGTGCGAGTATAATGGTATATATTTAAGAATTAAACTGTTTATTGGAATAATATGATATGCAAAATTGATTTATATATAAGAATATATCAGTTATTTAATTTAATGTGTCAGATAAATTTAACTCATTGAAGATGAAAACTAAAATCATCTCAATGACATGATCAGCTGTTCTGTCCAAACAGCTAGCTGCATCATGTCTCTGAAACATTTTGAAAAGAAGAATTGCTACAATTTAAATGTAGCTGCAAGGGCAAATAGGATGCCATTTAAAGAAGCCTTCAAGGCATTCTTCAAGTCATTCAAACAGTTCATACAACTCAGAAAAAACTATAGATATTCAATAATAGATGCAATACAGATTTCACACACTTTGTGAGGTACAAACAGACAAAAGTTCACGTATAAAATGTACCAAATGGACGGAATATAAAAATACAACAATTTTTTAATACTGCATCTCAAAGTACAGGAAGAATAGTGAATATATTAACATATATTACTGCCTAACAAATTTATTTTGCATTCAGAAGGCTGAAAAGGAAAATTACAATTCAGCACTAATTTAAGAATGCCCCAACACCATCCACTATCCTTGCATGTGGCTGTAGTCATTAATAAGGCATTGTTTGTAGGGGCTACTTAAAATCATTTATGGTATGTTAGAATAAAAGGCCTGTATGTGTGTGTTAATTTTTCAAACAAATTACCTAACAACAAATCCTTCAGCATTAACATCCAGAAAATTCCTCCTGCACATCATAAGTTCTTCTTGTAAAATATTAACTTATAAATAATACAGAGTATTGGTAATCATGAATCTAGAACAATGATATCCACATTATCATGCTTAGCATCTCACAAATTTATTTACATGTTCATTACCACCATTTGCCTCATTAAACAGGCAACTAAGAGGCAGTTTTCTTCTACAATATTCCTTCCTTCCTCCGTGGCTCTACGGTCCTCTGAGTACCTTGGCCTCCCTCTTCTACAATACTAGTACAGACAAACCTGTACTAACAAAAATCCCTAGAATGGACAGTTTAAAAACAGTTGCTCCTGCATGACAATCTACCACTCTGCGAGCTCGCAGGAAATCCTTTCCCAAGTAGCTTCCATAGCTGCGATGTGCTGAATCAATCACTTGCAACTGCTGGGCTGCATCTTGAAATATCAGATCACTGTAGGGTGGTGGTGAGTAGAACATGCCAAAACTGCACAGAAATAATGAAGCAAAATCAATATAAATTTTTCTTCTAGTTTCAGATTTGATCTCAAATGTAACACAATTTTTTTCCTGCAATGTGTCACTACTTCCATCATAAAACAGATGAGATAGGACTAGACAAAATCACACACAAAAAGAGGAAAATAAATACATTTAACTGGCATGAACAAACCAGCTGAGAAACTCACTAATCTTACAACCAGCAATAAGAAAATTTTCATTGAATGAATATATACTTTGAACCCAATTTTGACAAGTCTTAAATAAAATTCTACCTGAAGTCATCCTGGTCTTTGCGCCCATAAAATTGCTGTGCATAAATAAAAAGATTTATAAATGCATTTAATTCAGTCTCATTGTAACCATTCCCACCACGTGCCACAATTGCATTTGCTTTGATTTTTCCCAGGTTGCATTTCTCATATTCTTGCATCGCAGCACGGGTACCTATAGACAAAACAAAACAATGTTATAGTTCAGCAAGAAAAGCAACTTGCAATATTCCTGATTTTAATATTGTAATACATTGAGTTTCACATTTACAAAAATAAATATATGCCTCATCTCTATATGTATACTGGATAACTTGAACTTGTCATGGAAAGCAAGTTCTAATTAGATAAAATACATACACAAATTCCACGGAGGATATGATACCTTTTGCCGATGATTTAACTTGCTATAATGAAGTTGTTGTTACAGGCTATATTTGATCTATCACAGTTTACCAGTTCCATCAGTATTTGGAAAACACTACACTTCCTTCTCCCGCAGATGTCACATATCACTTATTTATGCTAATTTTCTCTAGAGCAAAACATGCCTATTACATTTGCATACTATTTCACACTACAGCTATGGAATAAAACATGTGACCTCCATGTGTACATATATGATAAAAATATCTTACATAAATTATGAACGGCAGCTATGATAATAAATTACACACCATCAGGGCAGAGAAGTTCATAGTCATCTGTAAGAGTATTCCGTGCCCACCATTCCTTCCTCTTCCCATCCGTATTCTCCATAACAGTTGTATGCTTCAGAAAAGCAACTTGGCCACCTCCTTCGACCAAGCAGCGGAATGCACCTGTATGAAAAAAACAATGTTCCTCAGCCAAGTAAACTCACAACATTTATCAACTGCCATTGAAACAGCTAGGAGCTACTGGACAAGAATATTATGATAAATGGCTTCAAGATTAAAACCATGGACCTCCATAAGCAGACAACATATCTGAGTCAATGTGAAAGAGCACATTTTCTTTTTTACATTCAAATAGGTCCTTTGGTGTTGCATAGTGAAATTATCTCTCATTAATCGATTTTCATGAAAATAATATCATAATATAAATAAAGCTGTCTTGCTACACACCAAATAAGGAAGTATAGCTCCTACTCATCCTTAACCTCAGCACTAGATAAGGGTGAGCTGTCAGCATCACATCCTGGCCACACTTTATAACTGGGAAACAACCACCAGTACCTAATGGACAGAAGGCTGGGTGGGACCCAGAGCCATTTTGGACACAGAGGCTAGAGGAAAAATCCTCTGCCCCTGTCAGGGATCAAATCATGATTGTCCAGTCCATAGTCAGTTACTATACTGACTCAGCTCATAAAAGTAAAACAGAATGTCTTATCACTTACTTGTGTATGTACCATGTGGATATACCAAGATCATCTGTTTTGTGTAATTACACAAACACAAAATAGGATCAACTTGGACAAGGATTTGGAAGAGGCAGGCATGATGTGAGAAAAGACTGCACTGGGTATAAACATGGGTCAGTAAGTTTAATATGAAAAGGTACTATGAGTACACACCATTGTAAATCTGTGATGAAACCCCATAACTCAGAATATACTTAGCTGTTCTTTTCCTTTCCTGCTGCACCCATTTTAAAATGTTTCTTAATACTGAGGTGGTTTTGTGGGACGTTTTAAGTAAAATTCAAATGATTTACAATGGCTTGCAGTCACATAGGCAGTTGTTTATCCCCTTAACCGAAGTTGGATCTGCACTGTAGTCAACCACAAAAATAGGCAAAAAAATCAATTCAGTGGTACATTCAAATGTAAGTGTATCTTCTTATTACTTCATTGGCCTTTATATTGTTTATGTATGAGCTATGTAAAGTGGGAGTATATTGCAGTGATATCATCCAAAATTAAATGTGCTTAACAATTTTCACCAATACCAAATTTAATCAAAAATCTTTCATTAGTGTAGGAGCTATGACATGTGGAAAGACATATTACCACCCCATAATGCATTTTCATGCAATTTGTAGAAGGAATTCATAATATTTTGATGCATTTCCCAAATTGTATATAAGATCTGATTATGTGGTTTCTCATAATTCACAGATCAAAATAATATTTCATTTTTAAAATATAAGTATTCCACACTGGAATAAAGTAAAGCTGTCTTGCTACATGCCACAGAGCAACTTGGGCAGAAAGATGGTGTAGCTTCTACTCATTCTTGACCTCGGCATTAGATGTGGATGAGTGATCAGCATCATAAACTAGCTGTACTTTACCCATGGGGAAAGGACCCCCAGTAACCACTGGAAAGGAGATGGGTATGCCTCAGAGCTGGTTTTGACACAGAGACTAGAAGAAAAATCCTTGTCCCTGCCAGGGATCAAAACCCAGTAGTCCAGCCTGTAGCCAGACACTTGAGTGACTGAGCCAGCCTGGCTCACTCCAAACTGGAGTACACTTCATATTTGTTGTCTTTCACAAAATTAACCTGACCTGTGTATCCATAGTAGTCTTCTGACGCATCTCTTCTACAATATCGATAGCTTATGCCATGGCATAGATCACACATATTATCATAGGGCACTCCAGTGTTATACTCCGAGCTCAGGGCTCCTGGTACACATGATTTGGTGAAATACTCAGCAGCAGCACGTACTGAATTGCATCCATAGCTACGGATCCAGCCATTAGAAATAAGAAATGCTAATGGAACAATCCATCCAGCACCTGTGTTAATACCTGTGTGGCATGTGTATTTGCCTGTAAGCACAGATACAAAAAATAAAAAAAATATACCAACTAGTGTCATGCATTCCTAAGTAATATTAATACAATTAAATCTCTGTATTATTATATTTTGGAGATTCAAATGTTTGTACTGTAGAACAATGATGAAATGTAAGTACAAATATATAATGTCACTGTAATGAGCTATGCAAAGTATATTAACAGCCTGTTGTTATATTACAGTAAAATCACAGTAATTCAGTTTTGTATTATTCAATATGATGTGTATTTTAAAGTTACTATAACTCCTCAACCAATAACATAGCAGTTTATATGCTTTTTAATATATATGCCTCAAACAACAATCACATAAGACACTTGAAGCAATAATCAGTATTTTTAAAAAGTACTTATGGAGAAGTGAATTTATAGCTCCACACTTTAAGCTTAACACTAGACAGAACCGTGTGGTCAGCTTCATGACCTGACTGCTTTACCCTAGGATGAGCCCCTGAATCATTGGTGAAAAGAAAAATCCCTGCCCTGCTGCCCCTCTGTCCAGTCCACAGCCTAGTCATTATACTGATTGAACTACCCTAAAAATAAAGTATGTAATACATCATACCATGGATGTAGCTAAGAATGTTGTTCCAAATACTCCTTTAAAGTACCAGTATTTATTACATATTTGTTTAGATACAATAGTCAGTAGTCAGATCTATTTATTATTTTATTCTGGTAAATGAAATTAATATTTTTATTTATATTTTGTTCTAATAAATAAGTAAAACCTAAAAGCAGTATTCTAACAAGTAAGCAATTCCACTGTCAACTCTTCCAACATATTTCAAAGGTCCTGAGTCATAATTAGGTTGCAAATGAAATAAAATTAAAAATAAGAACAGGATCAGAGATTAAAGCACACAGATTTATAAAGTTAAGTGCATAATAGAATCAAACAGGCTGTTTATGGTGGGATAAGATACCATCCCCCATCTAGTGGACTTCAAGAACCATCCAGCCTCTTTTTCAGGCATTTGATGATATTCCACCAATATTGTAACAGTTCACACAGAAGAATCACAATGAACATTTCCATAATGCTACAAAAATCAATAATGGAAACAGGAGGATGCCATTACCATGAGCTGACAACAAAAGACTATTCAGTAAAGAGTTTCTAAACTTAAAAAAAGGGAAAGAAAGAAAGAACAAACCCATAATAAAGTTCATTCTTCAAGTAGCATGCCACCACACAAAGAGCCAATGAAAAGAAAGGGCTGCACTCTGAATTAAGAAATCAATCTAGTTATACAGTTCCAGTTAAAGTTTCAAGTTGTGGCTGCCAACAAAGTTTAATCTACAGTGACATAACTTTCATTCTGAATTTCACACACTTGACAATTTTTTCATTATGTTACAATGGACAATGACTTTAAGCAAGAACTCCCTTGAGTGACTGAGCCAGCCTGGCTCACTCCAAACTGGAGTACACTTCATATTTGTTGTCTTTCACAAAATTAACCTGACCTGTGTATCCATAGTAGTCTTCTGACGCATCTCTTCTACAATATCGATAGCTTATGCCATGGCATAGATCACACATATTATCATAGGGCACTCCAGTGTTATACTCCGAGCTCAGGGCTCCTGGTACACATGATTTGGTGAAATACTCAGCAGCAGCACGTACTGAATTGCATCCATAGCTACGGATCCAGCCATTAGAAATAAGAAATGCTAATGGAACAATCCATCCAGCACCTGTGTTAATACCTGTGTGGCATGTGTATTTGCCTGTAAGCACAGATACAAAAAATAAAAAAAATATACCAACTAGTGTCATGCATTCCTAAGTAATATTAATACAATTAAATCTCTGTATTATTATATTTTGGAGATTCAAATGTTTGTACTGTAGAACAATGATGAAATGTAAGTACAAATATATAATGTCACTGTAATGAGCTATGCAAAGTATATTAACAGCCTGTTGTTATATTACAGTAAAATCACAGTAATTCAGTTTTGTATTATTCAATATGATGTGTATTTTAAAGTTACTATAACTCCTCAACCAATAACATAGCAGTTTATATGCTTTTTAATATATATGCCTCAAACAACAATCACATAAGACACTTGAAGCAATAATCAGTATTTTTAAAAAGTACTTATGGAGAAGTGAATTTATAGCTCCACACTTTAAGCTTAACACTAGACAGAACCGTGTGGTCAGCTTCATGACCTGACTGCTTTACCCTAGGATGAGCCCCTGAATCATTGGTGAAAAGAAAAATCCCTGCCCTGCTGCCCCTCTGTCCAGTCCACAGCCTAGTCATTATACTGATTGAACTACCCTAAAAATAAAGTATGTAATACATCATACCATGGATGTAGCTAAGAATGTTGTTCCAAATACTCCTTTAAAGTACCAGTATTTATTACATATTTGTTTAGATACAATAGTCAGTAGTCAGATCTATTTATTATTTTATTCTGGTAAATGAAATTAATATTTTTATTTATATTTTGTTCTAATAAATAAGTAAAACCTAAAAGCAGTATTCTAACAAGTAAGCAATTCCACTGTCAACTCTTCCAACATATTTCAAAGGTCCTGAGTCATAATTAGGTTGCAAATGAAATAAAATTAAAAATAAGAACAGGATCAGAGATTAAAGCACACAGATTTATAAAGTTAAGTGCATAATAGAATCAAACAGGCTGTTTATGGTGGGATAAGATACCATCCCCCATCTAGTGGACTTCAAGAACCATCCAGCCTCTTTTTCAGGCATTTGATGATATTCCACCAATATTGTAACAGTTCACACAGAAGAATCACAATGAACATTTCCATAATGCTACAAAAATCAATAATGGAAACAGGAGGATGCCATTACCATGAGCTGACAACAAAAGACTATTCAGTAAAGAGTTTCTAAACTTAAAAAAAGGGAAAGAAAGAAAGAACAAACCCATAATAAAGTTCATTCTTCAAGTAGCATGCCACCACACAAAGAGCCAATGAAAAGAAAGGGCTGCACTCTGAATTAAGAAATCAATCTAGTTATACAGTTCCAGTTAAAGTTTCAAGTTGTGGCTGCCAACAAAGTTTAATCTACAGTGACATAACTTTCATTCTGAATTTCACACACTTGACAATTTTTTCATTATGTTACAATGGACAATGACTTTAAGCAAGAACTCCGGCTACCGTTGTTCTTACAATGTTAGTCAATAAACAAGAAGTATGTGTAAAGAGGTTGGAAAGAGAATGGTAATTACCCTTTAGGTAAGTAAGTTCTGTGTCAGGATCTTCTTCTTTTGCTACAGCAACTGCATAATATTCAGGCTCCCCCAGATTGTAAACTTCTGAGATGAATGGAATCAAGTCATACTTCAGTCCTGCAGTATACACATCACCCGCATCAAATACTGCCACATCTGCAATGCTGTCGTCATGAAATAATAAGAAGAGGAGGTTACAGAAATATACATATACGTTGCAGCGAGAGAATCAGCTGACATATATGACACAAAGCAACAAATAACTGATTATAAATTATATCAACACTTTCAAAAACAAAAAAACAAAGTCACATATTAAAATAAATGTTCAGAACACTATGAGTAAAACTAAAACATTTTTATTTTCACTTAATTCTGAGTTGGCATCCATGCATACATAAATAATTAATCAGTTAGAATAAAAAAATACAACTTCTGAACATCAGATGATTCACATGCACCTCAAATTCTATTTTTGAGTTAATTGATAATTTTACATATTTGCAATTTGTAGGCAGATTCTCTAGCACAGGCATGTCCAAACCATTGCCTACACAGGGATGCTTATAAAAGAGTTGACTGTCCCAGAGGTCATCACATGGGTGGGAAAAATATAACTGCCACTTTTACTAAATCCAAGCTTAAATTTAAAATATATTTTCCATTCTTCCATTTGCCCACAAGTCCACACAAATGAGAATTTCACATCATTCCATGGAAGAAATCCACATCTCAGCATTTCCTAAAACACTACCATCCTAGAGATCATGAAAACAATATATTCATACATTCAATGTAGGGTCTTGGAATGTTTAACAATCATATATATTTGAAAAATATGCAACTTTTACTGATGTAACATTTTAAAGAAAACCATAATAATGTTGTAATGTCCAAAATATTTTGGTGTGATTGACAGTTACTAATGAACATTTGCAGTTTAAGCATAAGAAACAGTGGCAATTTATAAACACAACTGCTAGTACCGGGTCTACAATTTATGCGGCAGCGGTCGTGCTTGCATTGCGTGGTCGGCCGGCACACTGTTGATGTGGGAGAGAATATTAAGCGTTCTTCCGGTGGGTGACCAGCGAATCAGTTTCAGTGCCGCTAGTAACAGCAAACTGCAAATATTTCTCATCACTAATACATGTTATTACTTTAATTGTTCTTACCTTAAATCACAAAAGATGTTCAAAGTGACTTCCTTGTGCTTGCAGGCAAGCTTCACATCTCGTTAACATGTTTCGAAATACTCGACGAAGCTCTTCTGGGGTAATTGCCGAAATCAGTTTTCGAATATTTTCTTTAAGTTCTTCTGCAGTGTGCGAATTTCATCCAATTTCTCTTCCGTCAATACACTCCGTTTCCTGTTCTTCTTTTTATCCAAAACTGATCCCGTACTACGAATTTTTTTTACTAATCTCTCTATCATGAACCTGCTAGGAACACTTACACCAGGAAAATGTCTACGATATTTACGGCGGCATCTTCCGTAGGATAAATATTTGGCATATGTTTCGACTAAGAACACACATTGCTTAATACTATACACCATATTATCAACGGCAATCAGCAACGAGAGACGCAATGAAACTGATTAGCCGGTGACTCATGGGAAGAACGCGCTATACTCTCTCCCACATCAACAGTGCACCGGCTGACCATGCAATGCAAGCACGACCGCTGTCGCATAAATTGTAGACCCAGTAGAATGGTATTAAGACTTACAACATATAATTTTCTTGGAACCCTAAAATGCATCATGCCAATGTCAAATGTTGTCATTACTTGTTTAATAATCTGCAATAGTTTCCACTCCATTATCCCATTTCACAGAACAGTTAATGGTGTCCATTTCACTAATCATAAAAACATACCCATTGCTTATAGCCTGCATGCAATTTATCTGGCTGTGGCCTTTGTGACACACCATTTCTGGTTTCAGAAGCAAATATTTCTCATCACTAATACATGTTATTACTTTAATTGTTCTTACCTTAAATCACAAAAGATGTTCAAAGTGACTTCCTTGTGCTTGCAGGCAAGCTTCACATCTCGTTAACATGTTTCGAAATACTCGACGAAGCTCTTCTGGGGTAATTGCCGAAATCAGTTTTCGAATATTTTCTTTAAGTTCTTCTGCAGTGTGCGAATTTCATCCAATTTCTCTTCCGTCAATACACTCCGTTTCCTGTTCTTCTTTTTATCCAAAACTGATCCCGTACTACGAATTTTTTTTACTAATCTCTCTATCATGAACCTGCTAGGAACACTTACACCAGGAAAATGTCTACGATATTTACGGCGGCATCTTCCGTAGGATAAATATTTGGCATATGTTTCGACTAAGAACACACATTGCTTAATACTATACACCATATTATCAACGGCAATCAGCAACGAGAGACGCAATGAAACTGATTAGCCGGTGACTCATGGGAAGAACGCGCTATACTCTCTCCCACATCAACAGTGCACCGGCTGACCATGCAATGCAAGCACGACCGCTGTCGCATAAATTGTAGACCCAGTAGAATGGTATTAAGACTTACAACATATAATTTTCTTGGAACCCTAAAATGCATCATGCCAATGTCAAATGTTGTCATTACTTGTTTAATAATCTGCAATAGTTTCCACTCCATTATCCCATTTCACAGAACAGTTAATGGTGTCCATTTCACTAATCATAAAAACATACCCATTGCTTATAGCCTGCATGCAATTTATCTGGCTGTGGCCTTTGTGACACACCATTTCTGGTTTCAGAAGCTGTGCCTTCAAAGCTGTCTGCAAATAAACAGAGTATTGACACAACATATTAATTTACACTGTAATGGGCTACAATACTTGTTTCTATGGCTATTAAAATAATAAATTAAATGTAAAATAAAAATATGCTGTAAAGATCAACACATAAGCTTGATTTATTGGTGGAGGATTTCTTTCCCCTCCAGTTTACATTTCAGCTTGGCCCTACATGGTCTGGAGAGCTCAGCTGATTCCATGAATAAGTGAATGTACCTCACACATTGAACTTGCAAATAAAATTTTAAAAATGTACATACTCTCATCTTGACACATTTTTCTAGTTCTGGATCTGAAGTGACACAAAGAGTCATTTTGTTGACCGGGCAATGACGAACACCAAGGATAGTATTGAGTGACTTTCCTAGATATCCAGCATAAGTCTGCTGTGACTCACTCAAAGGAGACAATGTGATGGCAACATCCTGTAGAACAACATGCAGTCCTTAGCAAAGGTAATACAAATGCTGTCACATAACCATGTTTTATTTTCAATGTATCTTTTAATTAAAATGCACATAACATTTTTCTTTAATACATTGAAGGTTGGACAGTAATAACCAAACTGACATTTTTTAAATAAGTGCATGTACAGGTAATGAGGCACCTGGTGGAACACATGACTTTAATGTACTGCACACTATCACCATTTGAATTCAGTATATTTTATAAGAGCTACAAGTGCTTTGTCGAAGAAAAAAATCAATACAGCATTAGGCTACAGAAACAACAATAAATGTTTAGTAAAACTGGCAAACAAATGATATACACATTGAATGTTGCAACAGGTTTACACAGGTGAAACCATGTAAAATACAAAACTTTGTATGAGGTAAGATACTTCTAGAGGAACATAACATGTTAAAGATGAACAATTCAAACAGTAACAAGGCACTTACACATGAAAGTGCACTGAAAGAAACAAGCTTTGAATTATTCTTACTAATCATTAAATTTAGGTTCTATTTAAGCTTGTGGCCTACTGAACAGTGATAAGTCTTGTAAATTCCATACAGATCACTTTAAGCTTTAACTTGCACTAGTTTGCATAGTGAAAAAATAATGATGACATAAATCATATTGTGTATTATGCAATGTATGGTTTCCTATTGACACAACAGCAATGGACATACATAACTTAATGTATTAACCTTTATCAGCCCTATGTACCTATGCAGTCTGTGATGTGTATGTCTGAAAAATCTGTTGAGCCATATGGTGGCACACTGAATTGTGCTTTTATTAATTACATGCTTCAATTTAATCGGGCCATAAACACCTCTTAAAATTTATACATTATATAAATATTATATATTTATAAATGTATGATATGGCCTCAGAGTGGATGGAAGGAAACCAGGGAGACAAAATAATTTTAAATTATAGATACAGTTAACCTTTAAACGGCGGGGATTTAAATGGCAAAGTGGTAGCAGCCCTACGGAGTTTTTTGCAGGATTTTAAACTCTTGTGCATGCTCTAAGGAAAACTTTAATATTATCTAAAGTAAACATGATAAATTGACGAAATAAAAGCTATATTTATTTGAATAGAACAGAGAATACATAGAGTTTTTTAAAAATGAAGTTAATATCTTAGTTGTCTATATAGGCCTTAGTAACATTACTTTCCTTGTGCATGCTCTAAGGAAAACTTTAATATTATCTAAAGTAAACATGATAAATTGACGAAATAAAAGCTATATTTATTTGAATAGAACAGAGAATACATAGAGTTTTTTAAAAATGAAGTTAATATCTTAGTTGTCTATATAGGCCTTAGTAACATTACTTTCTTCTTTGGAAGCTCATTCGACATGGTAGAAGCCATGGTTGTGAACTAATGACCACACAGAAAAATTTGTTTCCCCTACTTCAGTGGATACACATTCTTTTCACAGATCATGCGGAGGAATGTGAGAATCTTTGATTAGGGGGTCTGAAAATGAAGCCGAAACCCACTTGACAATAACAATGTTTATTGCTGTTTATGGTTATATTTCCTGGGTTGACATCTCAGGCTGAACTTGTCAGAACCCTAGAGAAAGTGATTCAATATTTGCAACCCCTAAAAGAGGCCAAAAGACGTAGCCAAGTCTACTTACAATGTTGCAAGTTTTGAGTTCCGCTCCGGGAACGCTCGTAGGGCTGAGTACACAACTTACGTCCCAGACAGGGAACGCTAGTAAGATAAATGTTAAGGATTTATCACTTTCAGAATTTATGTTACTATAGATTTCCAATGCCAGTAAGATTGCAGGCTTAAAATAAAAGGTGTGCTAAATGTATTAATTTTCAACCAAAACATATAATATGTCATAAACAGTTTGTATGTATGTTTACAATGTCCCCTTTATACTAAAGAGGTTTAGATGCACATAATACGTATTTTCCACATTGCTGTCACAGAGCGTGAAATCTCTTAATTCAAATCCCACTAGTACATGACAGGTTCCATATTTGTTCTCAAATGAAATTGCAATTCTTTTTGCTACAGTGTTATTTTCCAGATAAAGAGAAATCTAAAATTACAGTTCAAAACAGTCTCTTGATTATAAAGTATCAAGTAAGAAGTGACAGAGGAATTTTCTGTATATCCATATTTATGGAAATTCTGATAGTAAAACAATACTCTGAAAAATTCTTCTCAGAAGAAGCTTTATTTTTACTATTTCCTCACCTGAAAAAGCAGGTTGTGATGGAGACCATACCTTGGTGCAGATTCAAATAAATTAAATGACTCATATGGCATTACTGGTACTGAGCTGAATGAGTCATTTTGAAAGTTCTGTGTGAATGTCCTGTTCACTGTGCCATACATATCAATTGCTTTCTGCAACAAAACATATTAAAGGCATCAAACACATGTATTTTCAGGGATATAAACCAAATTTGGCTTATATTGTAGATATTTCATGCAATACAAAATATGACTGTGGTTACTCCCCACAGTATAACAAGAAGTTCTCTGTAGTGTGATACATGTAAGATTAAAAATAATATATTCTATATTTTAATAGAGTTTTACAATTTATGCATATCAGTCAAGATAAAAACAAATAAAAACACTGTTATAAATAATCTGAAAAGGAGTAACACATACACGATACTGATATATTCTCATTTTAAGATTAAGCATCTCAATGCCTGTATTGGCTACAAGATCTTCTCTACAGTAACTCCTTTAGTCTTTCACAAACTCTTCACCCCACAGGACTGCAGTTTCATGCTACTTTCAGCCACCTTTCCTTGCAAATTCTATCTACATTACCTGTCTCTTTGTATATCTACACATTTTCTCAAATGTACCAAGGGCATCATTAAAGTACTGATTTATAGGAGATTAAATTCTTATGCTGATTTGGTTTGACAATTTATTTTAACTTGCATTTTTAGTTTCTGGGGACTGCATGTTATAAAAATGTTCATATATTGATTGGTAATTTACCTATAACAAATGTTCAGCATGCCAGTCAATGGTAAAGGTGAATGTATTGAATTTACACCACTTTGCATTAATCCCCAGAAAAGTACAAATAAAAGGATTATACTGTATCTATGTATTTACAATTTTCTGCTTCGCTTGAAAATCGACAATTTTTGAATTCTCAGTTTGCCCGGATAAAATGGTACTACCTATGATGGAAAACAACCTTCAGAGTAAACTCTAATGGCATTCAAAAGTATGCCCATAAATATGTGTCATGCAAATGGCAGAATGCAACAAGATCAGTTTTTTCCTAGTTAACAATAAACATTGACTGTCTGAAGATGGGGTCTGTTACTAACCTTAAGGAAGCGTTGATAGCTCTTCCGCAACTCAGTAGATTTGGCTGAAGTTGTAACAACAGCATGAGTTGGAACTATATCCCAGTAGCAGGACTGATATTCATCTACTGGTTTGCGTGAGCCATCTTGACAAAGCAGTTCAAAGTCCAATTTTGACACACCACCTACAAATTAAATACGGATTTTCAAAAAGTATAACAATAAATAATAATTGAAATTACATGGGAAGCTTCTTAAAATTAAAATTCACTCTATTTGCAATGCACTATCCCAGAATTTGCCTGGAGGGACTGAGGAATACCAAGAAAAAACTCAGTCATCAGTATAGTTGGTCCCTGGCCAATACCAGTACATGATATCACCAATAGTGGCAAGTATTTTAATGTGTGAAATGGACATTTTTCACAGTCTGTGACTACATCAATTGGAAGTGTAAAAGACAGCATGTCATATGCAATTTGCGCTACCATACAATGTGCGATGGACCCTTGAGTGACCATTCTTGCAGGATATAATGTTTCAAAACATGAGTACTTACTTTATTCAGCAGTCAGTACAGAAATGTCATTACACAATACTTATCTGCATGTTTTTCTTCAAAAATGTACATGGTTTCAAAATTCAGATCTAGGAGTTTAAGTAAGCTTCATTGTCATATGTTTCAAGTTAAAAATATTTATTGTTGCTGCTGATAAAAAGTCTATGGAAGGGATGACTAGGATTCACATATCATTTCTCAGAGAGTTAAATTGTTGAATGTGAAATTAACATAAAGATTAGCATAAAACATAAAAAAATATTCTCACTAAAATCAAATCTGTTTGAAGTCATTTCATCAACAGTAGTGTGTTTTAAAAATGCAATTTCTCCTGTTTCCACCAAGCATCGAAAAGCTCCTTCAAACCCAAAATATGGATCTGCACTGGAACACCAATCTCCGGGAATTTTTCCAATACATAACTTGCATAGCTTATCTGAATTGTCACCTGCAAAAATATATGACATTCAAACATAAATATAACACCACAAGCCTGTAATGAGGTACAGTTATATAATAAGATCAAGTGCAAGAACACAAAACTGAATACTCTAAGTCACACACAAAAATATTCGCATTTCCTCTCATCACTGCTGCAGACTCATACCATAGCTGACTGCATGGGAAAGGTAGCAACTGATTCAGTAACCGAGAATAGCACAATGGCTGTGCACTGGCATAGCTACCAAATAATGCCTCTGTATTTATATTTATACAACTGAAATTAAAAGAGTAATAACCGGATACTTACTTTCACTGAATTGCATAATCATGCTACTTTAAATCATATGCTTCACAGTTTAGTGTTCATATGCAGTAAAAGCTAATGTTTCTCAGTTTCATGTAACAGTGGGAAGAAAAAGACTGAGCATGTTAATATCAGGTGAAATAAATTAATACACATTAAGATATACATACCAATTGGGTTGTATTTATCTATAAGAGAATTTACAGCACAACTCGGTCCAAAATATTTGATAGCAGATTTAACATGATTGTTGCAATCAATCACATCCATGCCTCCTTTCTGCATAAGCTGTAAATTTAAATGAATTATTTTATTAAAATCCATAAAAGCAACTATGAAAGTAACATGACAATTATTTTTAATAGCTGGAATGAAACACCTTCAACAACAAAAACTCACTCAACTCAACATACTTACTGAAGATGTCCATGTGAGTCAAAATAATTGTTATAAGTAGTAGTTGCAATCATTAAACATCACTCTTCTTTATGAAATTAATGACAATTTCTATTACAATTCTGAATCATCAAAATGGAGAGATGGCCATATTTCCTGAAGAATTTATCTTATGAGAACTGGGCTGCTTGCTTTATCTTCTCCCTACAGAACTTGTTCACAGCTAGCCAAGACATTCTGCAACTTCATTCCTAGTTTGGAATTTTATGGCAGTACTGAATTCACTTTAACCCAAAGCATATATATGGTAAGATCAGCCATACAATCACACTATTTGTATTTCAGCAGACCCTCCTCATCTGTGGGTCTGCACATTGCAGTTCATTTTGTGAAAAATTATTATGGTAATAAATGTGCATTGCAGCACAAATCCCTCATCTTTCATGGTCATCTTTGCACAGGCACACAGAGCAACACATTACAGCCTGCCTGTCTCAGTAGTTACATAGATATTGTGTCACACAAAGTACACTCTGACTGCATTTTTCACAATTTTTAAAACTGATTGTTGTCTTTATGTTTAATCACCCTAGCAATTATCAGCCATGAATACCAACATCATCCCAATAAATACTAATACTAATATTTTCTGATGACAAAATGTAGTGGACAGGTTACTTAAGACATATACCCTGATACATTTTTAGTTTTCAAATAATGCACTACATAAGTTTACGCGAGTATGAATTAAAAACAAATCTGGAACGTTGTGAAAGATTAGTAAAACTGTTTTATCTACTGCAAATAAAATCATAAAATTCCCTTGGCATTCAAAGTTATAGACATGCAACCACTTAGTTTCATGGAGGCTTTCAGAGGGAACACATTACCAATTCTGTCATTATATTTTATACATACAACCAAGTGCATGCGTGTGCGCACATGCACTCACACACACATAAAACTGTTTCCCTTACAGCCAGAGAGACATGTACCTCAATATACAACTAATATTTAGTAATAATTCATTCAAGCTTGAACAGTGTATTGCATATTGGAATACATATAATATCTGCATTCAATGTGCAATTAGAGGTATTAAATATGCCTTGTTCAATAGTTCCTGCTTTGGCCATCAAATCATAGCACCTCAATATCTACTTCATGACTTTCCTCATCCTTCATTTTGCTACCACTGCTTTTAAAGTATGATTTTGAGGTCATGCAAAATAGCACAACCTCCACATCAAATGCCATCCAAATCCATCCAGTGGTATTCAAGATGAACTGACTGAACAGACAGATGGATCGATACACATGACCAGCCCATAATGCATTCTCAATATGCACCTTGTGCAAAGAACACATAATAATGGAGTTTTACCTTATACACTGGAATAACCCAACCTGCCAAAGTGCCAACTCCAGCAAAGCAAGCTTTCTTCCCACGCAAATCATGTAGTGTCTGAACATCAGGCAAAGTGCCCTTCCTGATGACAGCCACAGCATAATAGGACCTCTGGTTACCTGTGCAGAAGTAAATGATCAACTCTTGACAAAGACAATTACTCAATCCATGCTGAATCATGTTTCACTATTGATAACCTAGATCTTAACAATTCATACCTCTTACTACACGCAAAAACTTATTTGAATGCATATTTTGAAAGCTATGAAAACATGACAGTAGTTATATTAAATGCATATGTATAAGGAATAAGTAAGAACATAAGTTTTAAAAGATTCACAATCACGTCTTCATAATCTCTGCAGAAAGGTACCAGACACCTAACTGCAGGTTTTGACACCATAACCCTCTCCACCATATTCATAGGCAGGTGGGTGAAATCAGACCTGCAGTATACAACACAGCATAAACTTCACTTACATTATTAAACAATAATATTCATATGAAAACCCTACCACTGTACACTTCCTGCATTATGGGAATGAGACTGTGGTATCGCCCAGCAACAAATACTTCCCCAGCATCCAGACTAGTTATGTGTGCCTTTTCTTCATCAAGGTAAGTCATACAATCTTCCTTGTTAAAGCCCTAAAATATAATGTTAAATGCATTTAGTGTAGTAACTGGAGCATAATAACTTACAGTGCTATGAGAAACATGCTGAAATTAGAAGAATAAATCTTAAAATTGCTTCTTAATATTCTGTTCAAAAACTGTTATTATCACATCTTCTTTTCAAAATTCTGAAGATCAGAATATATAAAACAATAACTTTACCAGTTTCTTTGTATGAGTCAGAAATGTGATATGTTATTTGTAGTTATGAACATAAGTAAACAATGTGCTCAGATAACCATCAAGACCTAAATAGGATGAGGTGAGCAATTTGGGACATTACACAATGAGAAACTTTTAATGATTTATAAGATCACCTAACACTGTCACAATAATTAAATCTAAATGGCTATGATAAAGATAAGAGCATAACATTAAAACTGATCTTCAGGAGACACATTGTGAGGAATGGAATAAAATGGAACTGTTACAGGCTCATGTCCAGTGACAAGATATAATCTCTCTCTTTTATCTTGCTGCATTCCATGTCTCTGTAACAATCAAACATACAGCAAGAGAAAAAAACATGCATAAGTTTTGTTACTCACCATATATCAGAGCCACTAAAAATTCAACAAACAAATAAAATTAATTTTAATAGAAAACAAATTGTATGAAACAAACAAAGCTGTAATTCATAGTATATATACTTTATAATATAAAGGAACTGATGACAATAAGTTCAACACTTACTCACTTTATAAACAGAAAAATATATTGTTAAAAACTACAGTTTTGTAAGCATGCATATACTGATGTAAAGGGTGAGCTGTATCAGACAGTAATAGTAAATTAATAAAAATATATTAATTATCATACATACCTGTTTACAGTCTAGCCTCATTGCTGCTGTTCCAAACAAATTCCAGTCCCTTTCAACAGCTTGCGCAAAGTTCAAACATTTCCGTTGCTCCTCTGAACTAATTGTGCACCACACAATTCTGTTACTGTCTTCTGCATTCTGTTGACCTAAAATACAGAGATAGAAAAAATATCCAACACAAGTTATATCTTATTCATCCAGGTGTGATACATATTCGTGCTATATCAAATTACCTTAACCTAAACAGAACAGAAACTCTGCTCTGAAACAGGAATTCATTATACTATTTCTCATATTTACTTGTATACATTAACAATGTACAGTATAGAGTTTGAGTACTAATTATCTTACCTTCGCAGTTACTTATTAAACACAAAAACAAGAATACAACAGACAAAAATACATAAGCGAATTTAAACTCCATATTTACAAACACACCCAAAACCAACGGCTACTTTCCAATTACAACAGGATTGTCCTCTCTGAGTCATTCAAGGAGGTGTTTTCCTTTTGACAACACATTATCTTTTAGTGTAGCTTGCCGCAACGTTGCGCTGAACACTAAGTTAAATAAACTATTATACCTTGTTCGGGTTAATTACCATCAAGTAATTTCAGGTGTTCAAAGCTGTGAATATGTATATCAACGATAACCCAGTCTGGAATAGATGTTACAGGCGCGCTTTGCATTGATAAATCCTTTTTAAAAAAGTCATATTTCATTACCCGTTACCTTCTGGGCACGTGCATCACAAAGTAAGTTTTCTTTTTTGTAAGATTTGAGGTTTTCACAGCGGTGAGTATGAACATTCCTGTCTTCTGGGTTGTTGCGCTGTGTAGTCTCATTGATGTTAGCCAACGTTTCAGAGGTCATACTGCCTCCGTCATCAGGGCAATGAATGTGCCAGTGGGGTGTGGAGCTAGTTTTATTGGTGCCGGGGCAGGCTACTCCATTCACATTCCGGCACCTATAAAACTAGCCCCACACCCCACTGGCACATGCATCGCCCTGATGACGGAGGCAGTATGACCTCTGAAACGTTGGCTAACATCAACAAGACTACACAGCGCAACAACCCAGAAGACAGGAATCTTTAAGTTTTTTTTACCAAACATGTGTAAATTTGAGACTTTTTAGAAATTCCTGTTACTAACATAGTTTTATAGAGAACTATAACCATTATCCTTTTTAACGTACATGCCAGCTGTATTATCCAAGTTAAGAAAATACAGTTTTCCTTGTTGTGTTTGACATTATTAACTTTCGTGTGGTTCTTAAACGAAGGTTTGACATGGTGGAGGCAGCGAGGACCTCTGAAATGTCTGTAAACTTCTACCAGACTACACAACGCAACAACCCAGAAGGCAGCTACAAAAGATGTTGGTTTGCTGCCGGTGTTATTTTCTAACGGCACTCAAGGATTCCGTAACATGGTACTTAATATAACGGCTAAAAAATATTCGCAAATAGGATCTCCACAACGAAATAAAGCAGACAGCATTTGACAAATAAACTTACAGAAAGTAACGCTAAATCTCTCATCAGATCCATAGTCTGCTGAGCTAAGACCAACACAGGGATATTCTCCAGATCCAAGCATGAAGGTGTGAAAATGTGGAAGAGAAACTCACGGACACTAGAGCAACAATGCAAATGGTGTAGGGCCTAGCTGAATTGTGGACGTTATAAGTAAATCATAGCAGACAATGAGAGGCAGTCAGAAGTAACCTGTGGTCACAAGTAATTCGTATGATAAGATTGGTGTTTCATTATCAGTTGTTTTTACTGGATAAAAGACCGAGGGTACAGATACGAAGCATGTGGTTGGATATTTTTGATCAGGTGATGGGCTTCTGTGAACATTGTAATGACAATAGTAATGAACCTTCGGGTTCTACATAGGCGGAGAATTCATGAAAATAGCTAACAATAGTAATGAACCTTCGGGTTCTACTTACGCGGAGAATTCATGAAAACAGCTGGGCATCTGCCAACTTCAAAAGTCATCTTTCTAGATTCAGTTCTCTGTGCCAGAGACTTCTGAATTTCTCACCGATGAGCTCTGTTGCTGAATTGGAAGTTACTTTATTATGTAGTCAATGGCAAAAATATGTTATGATGTCTTATTTTTGTTGATTACTTTATCATATAGCATTATTTTATGTTTAAATAGGAACTCGAGAGTCACGCCAGTATCCATGTGCAAGCCTATTTGATCACAATTTATAGAATATGAACAATATTAATCTATGATGAATAACAAATGATAAACGTTCTAAGTTTGAAGTGTCGGTTGAATTGTGTTGGATCAGGGCCAGACTATTGTAGAGAATGACATTAAGTACATATTATATTTAGGTTATTATGGAATCGTCATTACTTTTCACTATACTTTATATACTGATGTCTCTGTGTTTCGTGTATCCACCCAACGAATTTGTATCAGCAGGATTCACCGTTCAGTGCATATTGTCTACTTGGCTTGGAAGCGAGAATGAATGTTTTATACAGTATCATATTCGTAGAATTGTTGCAACTCTTCTCTGTCATTCTCTTTTGCCACTGGGTACGTTTAGATATGTTAAAACCATTTGTACTGTATTGTTGTAAGTTATGGTTTTGTCATGTGGCCTGATTATGCTACTAGTGCTATTCAAAGCCAAGAAGTTGCAAGATTAAGGGATTAACTCACTTGTGCTTACTTATAAGATTGATACTGTCTCATTTACAGAGCATATTTTGCTTTTAATTAGAGGGTGGGATTGTTATGTATGGTGAATTGGAAAGGATGAGGGAGGAAATGGCCTGCTTCAAGGTACTGTTCTTACATTTTCCTGGTAGGAGGGCAAAGCCTCAAACAGGATAGTTGATGTCGTAACTGAAGTTCAGACTCAGCTCAGTAAGTAGGTGGATGTATTGACTGATCATCATGCACAGCCTTTATCCATTTTAATTTAAATATTTGACACTGCTATGCAATGTTTTGCTGTTACAGCTCATTAAGACCCCACAGAAATATATCCTGAAAAAAAATGAAAGATTACCTTTATTACCCTCTATTGATCCTAGGCAAGTCTTGAATCTATTTCTGGGGTTAGGGTACGTATAGGGTTGATTCCATCATTCCCCTTGTTAGAAAGATTATGAGCAACATGGTTGACAGAGGGAACAAACTATTCAATGTGGGCTCTGAACTACAGTGTTTTATCATTGTCAGAGATGAAAGCATCAGTCTGTGAACATAAAAATGTGAACATAGATCTGACCAGGGATTGTACACAGAACCCTCTGAAGGAGAATCCAGTGTCTTTCCCTGAGACCATTTAATTTAGTAACATTTATCATGATCACATTTGCACATTAACAACATATTTTACATTTTATGATTAACAGAATTGCTGACAATTTTCAGTTAATAATAATTACAAAATTAGGTTGGGGCACTGTAGCACACTCACTCAATCACTAAAGAATTTTACCATTGTGGAACCTTAATTTTCATTACCATGTGTGCAAGAGTCTGTCATGGGTCCGTATGCAAAACCAGCTGATTCCAGTCCACACCTTACTTAAATATTATTTTAGTATTATTCATCCATTTATGCCATGGTCTTGTGAGCTGTCTCTTCCCTTGAGATTTAATGACAATTTTTGTATAAGTTTTATGTCTGAAGATGAGCTCTTGTTGACATAGTAATAAACCTGAAAGTTTATTACGGTGCCCTTAACTACCTGAGTAACTGGAGTTATTTTATATTCTAAGAAATTTTTTCATGTAACATTGTCTTTAGTAGTTTTAAAGTCCATGGTAAGTCAGCTCCTTGGCATGTCCTCAGGTTATGGATGTTGGAGAAGGAATCCAGATATGGAGGGTAGGCAAATATACTGAATAAACAGTTACAGACTGACAGGGAGTGGTCCTCCAACTTGGAAGGGGTGGGATGCTCTACAGTTTGTACTCTGTAGCAAAGATTATTAGGGTGATCAGATCATGGAGAATGAGATTGGTAGGGCATGCAGCAACATGTGGGAGTGATGAGAAAAGTGCAAAATTCTGGTTTTAAAGCCGGAAGGGAGGTGACCAGTCAGAAGACCTAGGCTTAGCTGAGATGATAATATTAAAATTGATCAGAGTGAAATTGAGCTTAGGATTATGCATTGGATTTCTCTGGTGTGGGATAGGTGCCAGTGGTGGGCTCTTGTGAACAGTAATGAACCTTCAGGTTCCATAACATGCAGGGAATTTCTTGACTAGCGTAGATTATTACTAACCCCTCAAGAGGAACTCTGCTCTATGGAGTTAATAAGCAGTTTTATTTTAGAAATTTTGTAATTTTATGCTAATGCTAATGTTGGGTACAACAGTGTATGTACAAAAGATTGAATATTGTATATGCTTGTGTGTTCAATCCATTAGACCTGTGGCAACTTGGGGTCCATGAACCCCTAAGGGTCTGCCAATTGTGCCTAAGGGGTTTGCTGGTTGATTAGTTTTTTCCTCATCTTAGCTGTAGTGCTGTTACTGCTAGGAAAATTATTTACATGACAAAAAACTGTACTTCTGTATCTTAATTCATTGTGTTTTCTGTTTAATGAGAATGTATGAGATAATTTTGGGGATGGGGTCTGTGGTACCAGACAGGTCAAGGAACACACGTGTCAATTTCACTCAACATGACAAGCAGAATCATTTATGTACATGTGTTAAATGTACTACTATTGCCACAAGGTTTTGTTCAATGCAGAGCATACAAGTAGAGAATGCTGACAGAAGATGGTCGTCTTCATTACTTGCTGCCATTAGAACCTGGAATCTCACCAAGTAGATCATACATTTCTTATGAATAGCTGTTGCTTAATTGCTGTAGAAATTTTGGCAGGAAAACTTAAAGCTAGGCAGAAGAAGCACAGTGGGAGGACTGGACATAAACAGCGCCATTTAGCAGTTCATTCAACAGTTTTTCCAAGTATTTGATGACTTTATTACAAAATTATTTTGTGGCAGCTTCTCCACATACTTCCTATGTCATATTCTGTGATATAACATCATATATGATGACATTAATGATTGCTTGTTGCAGGTTACTTAATGGGATTGTATTTCCTCAGTAACTCAAGTTCCCAGACCATGTTTTGGCAAGGTAGTGCAGTATGGCAATTGTCTGTATTTGCTGCTGTTATGGTACCATTAGCAGCAATGTACTTGGTATGGGGCTGGTGGCGAAATCAGTGGAAGTCACATCCTGTAGCCAAGACTCTTGCTTGTTTCTGTAATCCCAATGCAGAATGGGTATCTGTAGCATCAGATATCAACATTGAATTTCGAAGGTAAATGTTCAGTGATATCACTTTGTCCTTACAGATGCTGTTCTGAGATTTTTAGAATTACTAGTTTCATAACAATACCTATTAAGTATGTGCCAATGACAGCACTGCCCAAGCTCCTGAGTACACCCTCCCAGCTGATGTCCACTCCATTTATCTCAGTGGATATACACAGACAGAAGACGGGCATCATGTGTAAAACAAATCATCTTTTAATGCTACCTAAAAGGATGCACATATCTGTTTTTTTCCATGCATTCTTGTTACAAATTATCCTTCATTCACTGTCATTGATACCATCAATATTAGCAAGTAGTATAGCATCTTTTAGTGTAGTTAATCAAATGATGTTATACAAGATCATTTACAGCTATGGATACAGTACTACTTAAGGAGGCTGTTGGGGAAATCATACAAAGCAGAAATTGTAACATTTTCTTCTTCTTCTGATTTGCCACAATTTCCAAGTAACAGTGTTTATACAGTGATGTCATTTTGTATTATTGTGACCATTTGATGAGGTTCCACACTTAGAGTTTGTGGATGCACAGTTATCAGAATCAGACAATAGTAAGAGTAACAACACTGACACGTCTCCACCACACAAATCAAAGAGTACTCAAAAAGGAGTACATTGAAATGATGACAAGAACGCTACAAAGGGCAGAATTTGCTTTCTTTATTCAAAAGCAACGTCACTGTTAAAAACTATGAAGGGTGGTTAGTGAAAAAAAACTTTTACATTTTCTGCTTCAAATGGTCTCTTCAATATCATCCTTAAATACTGCACTAGAGCTTTGAATCATCCTGTAGGTGTTGCAGTAAGTACAAGTTTCCTTTCCAGAATTGACAAGATTTGCATTGAGACAAATTCAATAATGAAAGTCATAGCAACAGACAACTGGATAATTAAAGTTGCACCATACTGGTTAGATATAGCCCACCAGAGTGATGCTGCTCTGATCTTGAGCAGCAGCGACACTCACCAAGTTGCACCAAGCAGTCCTGGTGGAGCACAATACCTCAACATTGAAGTGAAGAGTGTACGGCAAGGAGTAAAGCCATTTCATATCAGGTAATATTTGCTTCTTTCTCACAAAACTTATCTAATTTGATTTATCTTTTCCCTTCTGTTTGTACTGTTCTTTATACTCCCATCTGCTTACTGAGCATCATTATTTAATTCATAACGATGTCAAAATGGAAAATGTCATGCCAATTTAACATAAGATACAAACATAATTTAATTTCATATTAAATGTTATTAAAGCTATTGAATTCTGCATTGAATGAGTTAAAGTTAATATGCTGAAGTTCATACAAAATTTTGAGAACATTTATGTCTCGTAGCCTTGACATAGAAGGAACAAGTTGCATTCTTACTCTTCTAGCATTGTTTTTGTTTTATATGAGTTGATAGATAGCCACATGAAGTAAAATACAATCCTTGTGATTGGCATGATTGCTTTATATACACATAAAACAAGTGTGGGTTGGTTGTTGATCATTTTTAATATCACCATTTGTACTACATTAAATCATTTTATGTTCTTTAATTGAGCAAAGATAAGTAATTAATTTTTATAGGCTCAGTGAGAATTTAGTTTTAAATACTCCTTTAGATTTTCATGTCATTCTTGATGGGTAAAAAACTAGTAAAGTCATAACATAAGTAATGAATTATTTGAGAATTTTTGAAAATGTAAATATTTGAGAATGACACTAACAGACAGAAATGAGGTTCTTGCTGAAATTATAAAAATAAATTATGGAAATTCATATTATTATACACTTTGAAAATCATCATCCTGTTTAATTTCTAAAAATTCTGGAAATCAGGGTATCCATATTTGTTTTTCATGGATGTAGTAGAATGCTGTCTCTGACATCAAGAGAATATGAAATACAAGCATTTGAAAACAAATATCTCTTGAGAATATATGGGCCTAAGAAGGATGCAGTAAGTGAACAGTTTAGGATATTACATAATTAGGAACTAAGTGATTTACACAGGTCATCTAGTATTACTAGGATTGTGAAATCTAGGAGGCTAGGATGGGATGGGATAAATACAAACTTTTGGTGGCAAAACCTCATGGAAAGTGTCCACTTTTAAGACAGAGAAGTATCTTAGAGGCAACAGTTATGAGGATCAGGCTGTGGTACTAGCAGTATTGAGTGTTAGGGTTCTGCATCTGCAGTGTTGCATTATTTATAATAATTTGTTGCAAACAAATACTGTGAAATTATAATTGGTGGCTGAGGTGCATTTGTAGCATTATTCATACTGTATTACTGAAACTGTTAGATATGTAAGTGTACTGAAATCATTGCATACTGCTGTATCACAAAATAATTCCAGAATGTCCTTGCCATTAAATTGCACCTCCATGCTGTAGAAGAGCTTACTACTTTAATGATTATGAGCATTACTTTACTTTCATTACATTCAATAGAACTGATCTCTGGTGTCACTTAAAATACAAAAATGTCTTATAACTACACAGCTTGGTATTTTGCCAGGTTAAATGCCTTTGACTTCAGAGACCTCCAGGATAAAGTCAGTCGTCCAATTACTGTACTTCAAAATGTCACATTTCATCGAACACTTGTTGATAGATTTCTGGATGCATTCCGAGAGCAAGTGGCTGAAAATCCTTTTTATGAAACTTCACAGGTAAGTTTCAAATCTGTATTTTATTTTCTGAAAGGTGGTAAAGAATCTCATTACATATTGTATGTTAAGGAATTTTGTTTAATTCTATATTTGTTGTCATCAGAAATTGGCCTTTTCATAAAATTTAATTTGGGCAAAACATATGCAGCATGTTTCTGTTTCAATTTCAGTGCATGAAGAAAACTGTGTAAAATATGATACAGTAAAACCTTGTTAATTTCATATTACTAAAATGGAAATAATTGTTAGTCCCTGTCCAAGAGGGTTGAACTTTATGCACTTTTTATGTGGATAATTGAAAACTAAATTAATTTATATTTAAAAATAGTTTAGTCTCAGAAGTACTAAAAATGTTATTAAATCCATCTATAGGAGCATAATAATGTTTGTACACCCCTACATCTTTTCCAAATGTGTGAATAGAGGTTGACTGTGAGCAAACTGACTCTTATGGGAGGAATGAGTAGTGGCCATGAACGATCTTGGGTGGTGGTTTAAGCCACAACCGCATAGGACCGATGGGAAAGTGAGTTTGTGCATTTTCAAAAGAAAATGTCTGTAATGTAAATTGTGTTGCCTTTGCTGGGTGTTCGTGGTTATTTGTCATATGGATGAATCGGGGACAACATGAGAGGTTCTGGAATTAAGTAGAAGCACAAGGAAAAGGTGTTAGTGGAAAGACTCAAAATAATCAAGGAAGTTGACAAAAAGGAAAGGAATAAGAGAGAAATGTAGACAGTCTTGAACTGTCCGCAGATGGTCATGTGGAAACAAATTGTGGTAGGTTTTTGGGCTGGTGTGGAGGTAGTTTGAGTTCATAACCTTCTGTAACATTTGGTATAACATTAATTCCACTCCAGTTATGGGTTATTCGTTAGTTTTAGTATGTTTGTACGTGGTGCCTTCAAAAGATTGCAAAAATTTTACAAGTTTACAAAATAAATATGATGCTAGGATTTGGAACTCTGCATCGGATGTATGCAGACACCATCTAATGTGAAGCTGCAGAAGATGTGTGGAGATGTGACAGTACAAGGAGATTCCTGCACTACCTGTTATTGTCGTCCAATGTGGTGCCTTGAGTGTATGGGTAAATGGTAATTATCCTTTATCATATAACAGATGAAAGAATCTTGTATCTGTCTGCTTAGAAGTTAGTACATTTACATCCACTTTAGATCAGTAACATTAGGCATCAGTTTTAACTGCAGAACAAATAACAAGTACACTGACATTTTGAAACAAATATAATTTCCTTGGCTTTCTGAGTATGCTGAGAAGTCTCGGAGATACAAACATTTAATGGGTGCTCTGCTTGTATTCATAGTATGCTAAGACTTGTTTTTGCACTTTATTTTCTGTTGTCAGATATATTTTTTCTTTCCAAAACACTCATAGTTGGTAGGATTTCAGGTTTTCACAGTGGTGAATATGAAGATGACTGTCTTCTGAGCTGTACCACCATGTGGTCTGGTAGAAGTTTAATGCTGTTTCAGAGGTGCTTGTTGAAAGTACCTCTGAAACAATGATAAACTCTACAAGAATAAATGGCATTACAACCCAGAAGACAGCCACCTTTGCATTCTTATAAGTATGTTTTTTTTAGGTTTTATATTTGTCTCCCCC